GATCATAACTATTTATTTAAGAGATTGAGGTAACTATAAAGCAAGGTGATAGAACCCTAATCACAACGTATTGCCAGGCTATAACTCTATTGATATTACACTAAGCAGTTTTAAACTGGACAAACCAAAAGAAAAGAAAGCATTAGCTTTGTTGTGTATTAAATAACAATGTGAAAAATGACATCATGTCTCTATACCTTGATATGTGCGTAAAGTTATCATGGTAGGAAAATTCAACAAGAAAAGGTACATCCCAAGATTTATTTATTTTTGTCGTTGAGAATTCATTTATTTCATATAATTGTGGTCCAAAATTGTGGAATGAGATAAGCAATCGATGTTGATGCCATTATTTCTGTATTAGGCTTCAAGGCTACTTTTTTTCTCATATAAAAACATTTTTGATTGATCAAACTACCCTGTAAGTTGATATTTTCCTCATTTCAGCTGAACTGTGGTTACTAATATTAGTGTGGTGATACCATAAAAATGCATTCTGAACATTCCAACATAAGGAGTTTAGTTAACTTCATTAAAGAAGCTGAACAAATCTCCATGGAGAAGCTTATTAGGCCTTGCGACAAAGAATACATGCGGATGACAATGCTAAAACACCAAGACACTTTCAACGAACAGGTACTTCATCTCTTTCTTTATGTTCCTTTGAGCCATTTGTTCTCGATCAACTTCATTAGAGTATTGATTGCCCTGAAAATGTTTACAGGTGTATGAACTTCACCGTTTGTATGGGATTCAGAAGATATTGATGAAAAATACGGAAGCCAACAGAGGCATTGAAGTAAACCAACGAGGATGGAACTTAACAAATGTGATTAGTCTAACTAAACATGATTGCCATAAAGGTGCACTGAAAAATCCTAAATTGAAATTTGATCTTGAAATACCAGCCACCGAGGACACTGCACAATCTGACAGCAACGGAGTTCTAGAGATTATAAACGAGACCGAGATTGAGCTGACACTAGGCCCTTCATGTTACAATCGTAAGAAAGTAGAGACACCTCTAACTTCAGGTTCAGCACATAGCTTGTCTTCTTCTTCTACTGGATCCAGCCTTATAAGCAAGACAAGATTGAAGACACGTCATAGCAGTCATTCAACTATAGAAGAATTGAAGTGGAGGTATAATTGGTCTTGCCCAGGTGCCACATTCAACCAGAGGGTGTCAAAGTGGAATTAGAAACAGTTATGATATTGAAGAACGATTAAAAGAAGAGAAATCGAAGCAGCCACCTTGGTTTTTATGAGTGTTGAGCATGAACACGACCTACANGTTGATGGTAGTAGTGGATCGAATATCCAATTGAGGAGGTGGGACCGAAGAACAGCACAAGCCTGTGCAACTCTGACTTTTACCCTTTACATGCACTCCCATAGGACCCACTGCTCCATGCAAATGCACCTTTCTACCCAGGCAAAGAGTGCTTCCATTCCACATACCTCTCTCAATATCCCCAACATTTTTTATAACACTCTTCTGCTGCATAATCCACATTCTAAAAACACAGCCCAAACCTAACCACCATGTGCTCACCTTGATAACAACATCCAATGCATACAAACACATACATCTATCTAATCTCTCCAACTTTTCATGAACATTTCTGTACAATTAATGCATATGCATCTAACTTCTTTTATTTACATCAACCATACATACTCTCTACTGATCTTGTTTAACTTTGTCCAGAAAACAACCACACAAATCTCATTAGTATAGACTCTGACCATAGTTCTAATATCATATTTCTAATATCATATTAAGAAATGAAACTCTAACTCAATCAAACAAAATCACTTTCTAAAATGAGGTTTGTATCGAGTTATGCATTATAAATTCTTTAGTCGATTTAGAATTTCCAACAAACTTAATACGTCTAATTTAATCTTATAAAATTGGTGTGTTATAAGTTGAGGTTTGTATTCGTTTATCTCTCCTTTTGTTATGAGATTTCCAATATTGACACATGACCAATTGCATCTACACATATCGCATGCAGCTATCTTACACAGTGAGTGCAGCTACAAAAACATTCGTAAATCATAATAGATAGGAGGAATTTGTATATGCAATACGCTTGGATTGCAATTTGTTTATTGGAAATGTAGTACTATAATTGAGATCTGCGATACAAAAAGTAAGGTGCATGTGATTCACCTCAGCAGACTAAGCTGCTCTATTAATGATTTGTCTGGAGTAAACCAAAGCCTTGCGATTCTAAACAATTGTATATAAAAAGAACTAATGCTAATGGAGTATAATTTAATACAACCGCATTGCTAGACCTGTCTCATGTCTCAGGTATTTCATCCATTAAACTTGAATTGCATTGGCCAATGTGCTGGGGTTGTTTGGCGTGCCTCAAACCTCATGCAAATAGCACTTTGATTTCCGTGAGTGTCCTTCAGAAAAATCTTAAAGTTTCAGCTTGAGGTTTGTATTCGTTTATCTCTCCTTTTGTTATGAGATTTCCAATATTGACACATGACCAATTGCATCTACACATATCGCATGCAGCTATCTTACACAGTGAGTGCAGCTACAAAAACATTCGTAATTCATAATAGATAGGAAGAATTTGTATATGCAATACGCTTGGATTGCAATTTGTTTATTGGAAATGTAGTACTATAATTGAGATCTGCGATACAAATAGTAAGGTGCATGTGATTCACCTCAGCAGACTAAGCTGCTCTATTCATGATTTGTCTGGAGTAAACCAAAGCCTTGCGATTCTAAACAATTGTATATAAAAAGAACTAATGCTAATGGAGTATAATTTAATACAACCGCATTGCTAGACCTGTCTCATGTCTCAGGTATTTCATCCATTAAACTTGAATTGCATTGGCCAATGTGCTGGGTTTGTTTGGCGTGCCTCAAACCTCATGCAAATAGCACTTTGATTTCCGTGAGTGTCCTTCAGAAAAATCTTAAAGTTTCAGCTGTGATGTAGTATTATATTTAATCTCCAACAGTGTACTCTGACGATTCTGATATTGGAGTGTGAGAAACGAGTGGCAGAGTGTTTCTCTTATAAACAAGGTTGTCGCTGAAGTAGTAGCGAAAGGAGTGTCCTCATGCCTTTGCTTGAGAGACTTTTTCTTCTTCTTGTCTTCTTATACAGGACAGAGAGTGTTGTTATATTTTGGGTTCACTCTCACTCACAGGTTAGAGGCTAGATTCTATTTCATACAGCTTTTTGCATTAGAATTATCTGAATCTGTGTCTGTTGATTTTGTTTTGATTAGTAGAAGGATTTCATAAATTTAATTAATCCAATGTTCATGATAGAAGTTCTGTTTCATACTATTTTTGAATCTCGCCTGCTGATTGTGAAACTGATGAACGTCTTTTCGTTCCCATTGGCTCTCTTAAGTATTGAGTTTTTCTCCATTTGCATGGCACAAAAGAGCGTGGGAATGTTAGTTTGTTTTAATTTGACGATTGTCAGAATTTTTATTATGTCATTGGTTTTATTCTGTTGGATCATAACTATTTATTTAAGAGATTGAGGTAACTATAAAGCAAGGTGATAGAACCCTAATCACAACGTATTGCCAGGCTATAACTCTATTGATATTACACTAAGCAGTTTTAAACTGGACAAACCAAAAGAAAAGAAAGCATTAGCTTTGTTGTGTATTAAATAACAATGTGAAAAATGACATCATGTCTCTATACCTTGATATGTGCGTAAAGTTATCATGGTAGGAAAATTCAACAAGAAAAGGTACATCCCAAGATTTATTTATTTTTGTCGTTGAGAATTCATTTATTTCATATAATTGTGGTCCAAAATTGTGGAATGAGATAAGCAATCGATGTTGATGCCATTATTTCTGTATTAGGCTTCAAGGCTACTTTTTTTCTCATATAAAAACATTTTTGATTGATCAAACTACCCTGTAAGTTGATATTTTCCTCATTTCAGCTGAACTGTGGTTACTAATATTAGTGTGGTGATACCATAAAAATGCATTCTGAACATTCCAACATAAGGAGTTTAGTTAACTTCATTAAAGAAGCTGAACAAATCTCCATGGAGAAGCTTATTAGGCCTTGCGACAAAGAATACATGCGGATGACAATGCTAAAACACCAAGACACTTTCAACGAACAGGTACTTCATCTCTTTCTTTATGTTCCTTTGAGCCATTTGTTCTCGATCAACTTCATTAGAGTATTGATTGCCCTGAAAATGTTTACAGGTGTATGAACTTCACCGTTTGTATGGGATTCAGAAGATATTGATGAAAAATACGGAAGCCAACAGAGGCATTGAAGTAAACCAACGAGGATGGAACTTAACAAATGTGATTAGTCTAACTAAACATGGTTGCCATAAAGGTGCACTGAAAAATCCTAAATTGAAATTTGATCTTGAAATACCAGCCACCGAGGACACTGCACAATCTGACAGCAACGGAGTTCTAGAGATTATAAACGAGACCGAGATTGAGCTGACACTAGGCCCTTCATGTTACAATCGTAAGAAAGTAGAGACACCTCTAACTTCAGGTTCAGCACATAGCTTGTCTTCTTCTTCTACTGGATCCAGCCTTATAAGCAAGACAAGATTGAAGACACGTCATAGCAGTCATTCAACTATAGAAGAATTGAAGTGGAGGTATAATTGGTCTTGCCCAGGTGCCACATTCAACCAGAGGGTGTCAAAGTGGAATTAGAAACAGTTATGATATTGAAGAACGATTAAAAGAAGAGAAATCGAAGCAGCCACCTTGGTTTTTATGAGTGTTGAGCATGAACACGACCTAAAAATATTCTAAGGTCAATGTATGTATACTTAATTGATGTTCAAGGCTAATTTTGTGAGCGGTGTTTCTTTGAAATTTTCTTCGTAGTTATTAATGATGAGGGTGTGATTATGTCTTGTATAAATCTTACTTGTTTTTCATGGTTATAGAAACCAATTATGATTCCGGAATCACCTATGGTTGATATTTCTTTGGTCTTGTGACTATTCAGATTTACATCATTTTACATCTGAAACCATGAAACATGGAGCTGTGTCTGAGGTCACCAAGCCCTTTATTAGCCCTTACCTGAGAAAGCAATACATGCCGTCCCCCTAAATTAATCAAATCATTTAATGAAAGTCGTACCGCGAAAGCTTCCGTGGATAAAACATTTTCAAGGTTTTTCCAGCTCATGCTCCAATTTTGTGCCATTGGAAAAAAAAATCTGCGGATGAGGCTTTAAAATATGAACAGCATATTCTCCTCCAGGTAGTTAACATCTTTTTAACACGTTTTGGTAATGTCTGTCCCAAAAGATGTTTTCACTTACAACATTTCATGCCTTTAGAATATTCATGAATTCGAAACCGAAGCATGATCTCTTTCTTTTCGTCATGATTAGGCTTTAGACACCAGCACCGACAATGCAAGGCTGTCATTTGAACTATTGGTCTATTATTCCCTTTAGAGAAGCTTTTTATCTCCAAGGACTTCATAATTTTTACATAGACCCCACCAACTGCAGTTATCAGATTTTGTATTCTTCCAGTGATTTTATGGTCCATTTATCTTTATGAAGACATGATCTCACTCCGAGAAGCAGCCCACCTAACTTTTATAGTCTAGTGAATGAATATGAAAGTGCTCTGGGTCACATTTGCATTCTTCATTGATGATATGATTTTTTGAGGGGCTAATCATCACGATTCATTGTCAATATTGTACGAAATGCAGTTGATTTCCATTCCTATCTCTCTCCTGATCACAGTTAATAGTAGAAAATGCATAACTTTACGGAATTGTTTTCAACAAGATGCTACGATGATATAAGTGAATGAAAAGAAAATCCAATATATTCTGCTATCTGGGATTCTTAACTGATTTATGCTAGATTGATGGGAAGAATTACGATTCTTGCAAGTACTAGCAACGTTAAATTAAGTTTATTATTCTTGTATTGCAGCCTTAGTACAGCCCGCCCTAACCAGATTGAAATCAATCCAAGTCTAGAATTATATTTAATTTTTCATCAAACTTCAAAACATAGTTCACACCAAAGGATCATGATCTTACAATCTACGTGGAATGAAGATGNGAATTTGTATATGCAATACGCTTGGATTGCAATTTGTTTATTGGAAATGTAGTACTATAATTGAGATCTGCGATACAAATAGTAAGGTGCATGTGATTCACCTCAGCAGACTAAGCTGCTCTATTCATGATTTGTCTGGAGTAAACCAAAGCCTTGCGATTCTAAACAATTGTATATAAAAAGAAC